CTCAAGACACCTCCATACTGATGTCCACAGTGACAGCTTCGCCAACGGTAAGAGCTCCTTTTCCCCACATCCTCACCAACATTTGCTGACATTTCTTTTTCTGATGGTAGCTGTTCTGACTGGGGTGAGACGGAATCTCAATGTAGTTTTAATTTGTATTTCCCTCATGGCTGAGGATGTTTAACACTTTAACTACTGAAGCTAAAAATAGAACTACCGTATGACCCAGATCTGCCACCCCAAGAACTCCATCCGATCAGACACCTGCACACCCAAGTTGGCTGCTGCTCTACTCACAGCAGCAAGGAGACGGAACAAGCCCAGGTATCTATCGAGATGCGTGCACAGACCATGAAGGCATGTGTGTAACACAATGAACTTGTACTCATCTGCAAAGAAAAATGAAATCATGAAATTTGCAGGAAAATGGATGGAACTGGAAAATATTATGTGAGGTAAACCAGGCTCAAACAGCACATGCTTTCTCTCCCAGGGATCCTTGCTCCCAACATACATTTCTGTGTGAGTGAGCGTGGGTGAGTGCTATGACGCTAGGAAGGAGCCCGTGAGAGGTGAGAAAGAGGCTTAAGGAAGAGGGCAGAAAGGGCAGGAGAATCATGTGGCTTGAAAGAGGAAGACTACTGGGAAGGGTGTGCAAGGGGGGAGGGGTGTGCAAGAGGGAGGGGTGTGCAAGAGGGAGAGGTGTGCAAGGGGGTGTGCAAGGCAGAATGAATGGGTGTCCAAGAGGGGAAGGGTGTGCAAGGGGGAGGGGTGTGCAAAGGGTGTGTGCAAGGGGGAGGGGTCTGCAAGGGGGTGTGCAAGGGGGAATGGGTGTGCAAGAGGGGAGGGATGTGCAAATGGAGAGGATGTGCAAGGGGAAGAGCTCTCAAGTTGAAGAATTTGTGGTCTCGGGGCTGGGGAGATGGAGCAGTGAGTTCTTCTGCACAAGCATAAGGACCTGAGTTTGGATCCAAACACCCATGTAAAGGTGGGCGCAGTGCCTGTCTGCAGCCCCAGCACTGGGGATGTGGAGACAGGCAGATCCCAGGAGTTCACCGTCCAGGTAACGTAGCTGAACCAGAAAGTTTCAGGTTCAGTGAGAGACAGGGTCTCAAAAACAAAAGGGAAACGTCATAGAGGAAGACACCAGATGTGACCCTCTAACCTCACACAAGCACTTAGGGGTGAGCGCGCACACACAGACACACACACAAATCTGTGGTGTAGATATACTAATTTCTTTCTTTTTCTTTCTTTTCTTTCTTTCTTTCTTTCTTTCTTTCTTCTTTTCTTTAATTACTTTTTGGTCTCTTTGAGACAGGGTCTCCCTGTAGCCCTGTAGCTGACCTGGAACTCACTATGTAGACCAGGCTGGCCTTGAACTCACAGGTATCCACCTGCCTCTGTCTCCTAAGTGCTGGGATTAAAGGCCTGCGCCACCACACCCGGCCTTAATTTCTTTTTTCTTAGAGAAAACAAGTGTCTAACTTTTGAAAGTCTAAAAAAATAAAACGAGTTTTTTCCAAACCATCTCCTTTTTGGGAGTTGATTCTGAAGGAAAGAAAGACATGAGAGTTCAAGAATCACCATGTATATAAATACACACATATTATATATGTGTGTACATTGTATAGAGTATTGCATATTATAGAATACATATATGTATAGCCAGTAAGTAAAAGGTTAAATGCTGACCCACAAAACCTGAACACAGAACACTCAATGAAATGAGAAGTCTCCTGGTTTTTATTTTTAGAAACTAGCAGCATTCAAAGGCTCCTCTGCCTTTTGGAAAGTACAAAATATAATGCTAATTTCTTCATTCTTTTAAAAAATATTTTATTATTTATATTTTATGTGTAGTAATGTGTATTAATTTATACTTTATGAGTGTATTGCCTACATATATGTAAATGCACTCATGTCATGCAGTGCCCACAGAGGTCAGAAGAGGGTATTGGATCCCCTGGAACTGGAGTTTCAGACAGTTGTTAGCCGCCGTGTGGGTGCTGGGAATTGAATCTGGGTCATCTGCAAGAGCAGCCAGCACTCTAAACCACTGAGCCATCTCTCCAGTCCCCTAATTTCTTCATTCTTTAAAAATAAAAGTAAATATTAAGAGCTGGAGTCTATCAAAGAGACAGAGGGCCCTCCACCTCTACCTGCTGGTGGCAGCAGGAAAAGAAGGTGAACCACGGAACCTGCTGGCTCCAGATCATCTCCACAGGACTTGTGTCTTCATAAAAGTCAAGAGTATCACTCACTACAAAGAGCGGTGGGAAAACCCATTAAAACCATCCTCATTATAAATAGCTCTACCACGGCATGCTGGCCAGTGTTACCCGGGGAGTCCAAGTTCCCATTTGCAAGTGAGCTTTGATGTGGGGCTGGTAAGGACTGGACTGGCAAGGGTGACGGCTTCCCGGGAGCCTTCAGATGCTGGCACAGCCCGCCCACCTCTCCCTCGGGATAAGATACTAGAGAAGGCTCTTCCCAAGAGCGGGGTATCTGCACCAGAAGATCTCCAAGTACTTAAAAGAAAGGGCATTACCTTCTCAAGATCCCCAAGGCAGATAACCCCGAGATTCGGTTCGGTTCAATCCTGAGGTTCCATTCCAATCCTGTCCCAGAAAGAAGCTGTTGGATTTAATGCCAACTTTTTAAAAGGATGAACTGTAAAAAGTTTTAGGAAACTGTAGACCGGGACCCCCAGCTGTAACGCAGCTTCCCAGGACCCTGGTGTCCTGGGGGCAGTATCCACATTTGATTGACGTATATTTTGTTTCTGATTTTTTTCATAAAAATTTCTAGGAAAAAAAATAGCAATATTTCTTTTAATCACTTTCAAAGACCTCATGAACAGGAACAGAACTGAAGGACAACAAAATCTACCTCCTGTGGGTGAGAAGCAGGCCTGCAGGAGCCCGCTTCAGGCACTGGTTCCACGGAGGAAGGGGAGAACAGTGACGTGGAGCGGGCCAAGAGACAGCAGAACTAGCAGTGACTCAAATGCATCCTCCTCCCTCCTTGGCAGGTCCTTGGCGAGTTGGGGGCTCTGAGGTTCATTTTACATCATGAACCCCTTCTCCCCAAATGCACCTCCCAATTGACTATGAAAGCTCTAGCTCCCAAGCTCTCCTTTGTCACCCACACTGGTGGTATCTTTCCCATACTTCTCCTTGATGATGTTCTTCAGATTGTGGTAAACCTCTGCTGCAATGCTCGTGGCTTCCTGGAAGCTGGAAGCACCCACAGGGAGGATCATGAACTCCTGCATGGTCAGCTTGTTGCCAGCGTGAGAACCACTGTTGATCACGTTGAAAGCTGGGACTGGCAGGATGACTTCAAGGTTACCAGCCAGGCTGGTGATGTGTCGGTACAGGGGCACGCCCTTCTCTACAGCACCAGCTTTGCAGACA